ACTTGCAAATAGTTTCTCTGAATCTGTGGGTTGTCTCTTTTGTTTTGTTTGTCTGTTTTTGGTATGCAGAAAATTCTCAGATGTATGCAATCTCACTTTTCTATTTTTACTTTAATTGTCTGTGCTTTTGGAGTGATATCTTAAAAATCATTCCTCAGACCAATACCATGGACCACTCTCATTAGTTTTTCTTCTAGTAGTTTTTAAACTTTAGAAAATCATGTTTAAATTCTTAATTTACTTTGACTTAATTCTTGTACAAAGGTTGAGATGAGGGTCTTATTCTTTTTTTTTTTTTAACATTTGGACTGGGAGTGATAACAGACTGGCCTTTTCTCTTTGTGTGTTCTTGGCACTTTAGTTAACAGTTTGCTGTAGATGTGTGGGTGTACTTATGGGCTATTTATCCTAATTCATTGGTTGATGTGTCAGTTTTCTGCCAGTAACATGCGGTTTTGATTTCTAAACTCTGCAGTATAATTTGAAATTAGGTAGTTTGATTCCTCTAGCTTTTTTTTCTTCTTTTTTTCTAATGATGATTCTTTGCTGTCCTTGGTCTTTTGTGGTTCTATACATATTTGAAATTTTATTTTATGCTTGTGTAAAAAATGACCTTAAAATTTTGATTGGCATTGCATTGAATTGGTAGAGTGCTTCGGGTAGTATAAACCATTTAATTGAATATTCCAATAAATGAATATGGGATATCTTTCCACTATTTGTGTCACATTTTTTCATCAATGCTTTACAATTTTCACAGCACACATTGTCCACATCCTTCATTATATTCACTCTTTTCTTACATGCTACTGTAATTGGGGTTGTCTTATTTCTGCTTCAGATAATTGTTAGTGTGTAAACACAATAGGGTTCTGCTACGTTAGTTTTGTGTTCTGCAACTACACTAAATTTGCTTTTGAGTTTTAAGAGGTTCTTTTGTTTGTTTGTTTGTTTGTAATTTGATGGAGCCATTAGATTCTTCTATGTGAAAGACCATGACTTTTTCTTTTGTTTGACTTTCATTTCTTTTCTTCCCCAATATCCCCTGTTAGATATATCTTCCCCAAATTTACTGGCTAAAAAGGTTTTATACTTTCACTGCTTAAGATGGCCCTAGCTTTGGGCTTGTCTTATATGGCACCTATTCAGTTAATGTACATTTCCTCTGTTAACTGAGAAAAATACAGTAGAGGAAAACATCTTCAAATATGTTTAGCTTCTTTGTGAACATAAAATTATATTAAAATCTGGAATGCATACCAAGGCAAGCTACAAATGCATTCAGTGATAGAAGACTAAGAGATAGTTTTTTTCGTGAAAGATGTTTGGTAAGGGTATCTTAAAGCTTAACTGTGGTGTTGTCACCACCATGTTCTCCCAAGTGAGCTAACCAGCCATCCCTGTATGGGGATCCAAACCCTTGGCCTTGATGTTATCAGCACCACACTCTCCCAAATGAGCCACGGGCCAGACCCAAGAGAAAGCTTTTATTGACATAAAGGGAGAAGTTCACATAAGCTGCTTAGAAACAAGGCTAATTAGTTCTGGAGGCTGAGAGTCAGGCTTGTCATTAGTTCATTGCTTGAGATGCCATTACCTGACATGTTTTTATGGGAAGGTCTTAACTGAATTACTGCAATGGCAAACAATGTCTAATGATAAATTTTGTTGCAGAAATGTATTTTGTATGAGGCAGGGGACACATAGAAAAGTGAAGGGATTTTTTTTTCTTTTTAAAAGATGACCAGTAAGGGGATCTTAACCCTTGACTTGGTGTTGTCAGCACCACGCTCAGCCAGCGAGCCAACCGGCCATCCCTATACGGGATCCGAACCCGGGGCCTTGGTGTTATCAGCACCGCACTCTCCCGAGTGAGCCACGGGCCGGCCCGAAAAGTGAAGGGATTTTTGATGGGTTTTTAGAAGGTCCTGCAAAACAATTCTTACCTCAGGCAAGCAAACATGAGCCTCCCTTCCTTGTGCCTTTCCTGGCTCTATTTTGTCTTGATCTTACAGAAAATGATTTCATGAAATTTTACATTTCCCCCTTTTGATCAAGATCTCTCTCTGAAAACATTACTGATAAATTAGTCCAGTGTCAGATTTTATGTGTCCCTTGAGGCTGTGATGAACATGTTCCAGTCACTGGACCTGATCTCATATCAGCGAAGGTAATGAACAACTGCAAGTCAGACTGTGTCAAGATGTTTTAATTACATTTGAGCAGCAAAGAGGGCAGAAAAAGGTGCTTTTGTGCCTGGGTTACCTAGGTGTCGTGTTTAAGTTAATCTGTTTTGTAGGTATTGGTAGTTATCTCAGAACACTGGGCAAACACCATTTTGTCAGTGGTTGCATTTCTGCAGAGCTTTAATAGATAACAAGTACATAGTTTTAAAAGAAAGGAATAAAGGAAAGATGCCAACTTTGTGAACATTCTAGGTTGCATGATGGTTTTAAGCCATGAACCTACAGTAAAAGACATTTAATTATGTAGATCAAATGACAATGGGGAACTAGGTGAGGCTTATGGTAGCCATGTGGCTTGCTCTCTTATTTTATGCAACTATGTCTCAATTTCCTCAGAGTTTATTCAGGTACATCATGCAGTATTTGCAATAATAAAGACATCACCTTACTTAGTTAATAGATAATCAAGAACAATTCTATTACCTGAGACTACCCTGGCTAGTAATGTTAATATGCTGTTGTGCAGCAACAGCTTTGGAGACTGCAAACATTCCTAGTGTAGCAGATAAGATTTCTTATTGTTTCATTAGTGGCTGCAGCATACTTTGTTCAAGAGATCTGCCAAAGGAAGAAAACCCAGAATTCCATAATTAACCAGGCAAATCATGCTTGACCCTTTGATGTAGTGGGATACTAGTGCAATAATCATTCTAAAGACATCCCAACCCACATTGGCCTCCTATTGTCCAGTTGTCTAAACACCTGGAAGCCGAAATTGAGGCATTCCACCTATACAAGTGAATGTACTTGATACAAGCACAAATGATTCTTTCACTCTTTTTTTTTTTTTTTTTTTTTGTCTTTTGTTGTGACCGGTAAGGGGATCGCAACCCTTGGTGTGGTGTCGCCCGCACCACGCTCAGCCAGTGAGCACACCAGCCATCCCTATATAGGATCCGAACCCGCGGCAGGAGCGCCGCTGTGCTCCCAAGCGCTGCACTCTCCTGAGTGCGCCACAGGGCTGGCCCGATTCTTTCATTCTTGAATTATTGTGTGTAAAGGAATTATATACCAGGAGTAAGTAGAAAAGTATATTACTACATATTGCTAACGATTCCTCCTTTTGGGATTGGTTTCAATAACATTACATGTATATGTTATATTATATATAATATATATATAATGACAGCTGCTCAGTGGACGTGAGGCCAGGACAGGAGGGTGGATCTTATCTGACCTCACCTACTCATTTGGCCCTTTCTCTACATTGAAGTCAGTGGAGACAAACCTGAAGGCTTTGTAGATGCAGCTGTGCTCCCTGTGTGGGACAGGGGACCATCCATCATCACCGAGGAGCTCTTACTTCACAGCCAAGAGGCTGCAACCACGTGGTAAGATGCGTAGTTGGAGATGGAGAGGGCAGAATGAGAAAGAGGTGCTTACCACTTACCACCAGCCCACAGGCAGCTATTGCAAGGCAGCCAAGGAGCTCCTGGAGGCTACCATCCAGCACCACCAGTACCTGCAGCAATAGCAGCATTGGTGGGCATAGAGCACCTGTCACACCCAACAAATGTAGACTCTTGTCCTCTTCACCTTCTTTCTGTGTCTGTCCACTACCTGTTGTCTCTCCTCCACCTGTCCCATTTCTTCCCCCACTGCACCTTCCTATGCCACCCCTTTCATCCAGTTGAAGGAAGACCTGACAAGTGTGGTGTGCAGGATCCTCCTCAAGTCCTGAACATTCATGAAGAGGTTGGTCCAAGAAAGGTGCAAAGTCCTCATATTCAGTGGAAGGGAGCAAAAACAGCACCTAAATACGGGTAGGGGACTGAGGGCAATGAGAACCATGGGAATCCTAAGAGGAGTGTCGGCAAGACAGGGCACTCTTGCTGTGGACACAGAAAATGCAAAGATACAAAGGCACAGTGTTGGTTGGGTGGAGTCTGGTATAAGCAAGTAGATCGTGGAGATGTCCTAGCTGAGATGTGACCTCCAAAAGACAAGTCCCAAGTCCCTAGAAGTCCTTGAGGAAATTGACCCACAGCTGCCCACTGTGCATGACCCGATGCCCTTCCAGGCCTGGAGGACACACCCAACCATGAACTTACCAGAGAGGACTGTGGGAAATGAAGACATTATTCTTGTGCAACCCACTTCAGCTGAGCCTGTGTAGAGGGAGGGATGGAGGTTGGCCCAGCACCCCCAAGTCCCTGGTTGTTTGTAAAGACTTTGCCTCACTCTGCCTTCAGCCTGTACCAGAATTTTCCTAACTTCTGGGTCCTTGGAATGCTGACATAAAAACTGATAGGTTTTTGGAGCTCCCAAGGTAGAGGGACAAGGACTGAGACCCTCTCCACATAGGCCTGGAGGATCTGGGACCAACCAGACTCTCACAATTAAAAAAAAAAGTCAGTGCTCTGGGATCCAAAGCCAGTCAGTTCCATGTTATCATTCCCACTGGTTTATTGAAGAAAAAGAAATGTAATTTGAAGCTGTGTGTAGTTTGTCCTCTTACAGACATAAGACACATAACTGACTTTTTGACAGGAGCATATCTAATATATTCAGTGTGAAGAAAGTCAATCAACTTTGTCTTAAACTGTGTATATGTCATGCCGTTTCAAATTCACCAATATGCATTAACCCTTTTAAGGTCAAGGACTGAAATCAAGGTGTGCATCTCCTGGGTCCGAACACATTGATTTAAGGACAAAAGATCCCTTCTCTTGACAGGAGCCCATGCCAAGTAAGTCAGTAACATGGTGGGGTTGAAGAGAGAGGCTCACCCAGGTTTCCAGACTGGTAAGCATGGTTTCCACAGAAGAATGGAAGAATACGGCATGGTGGAAAAGCTTTACAGCCAGTCTGAGAACTCAAGCAACAAACCTAAATTGCAAACTCTCATTTTTCTAACTATAATATGGTGTTAGCTACAGCTGCATTATAGATGAAATGTTGACACACAATCAAAACAATTTTACATCCAGTGGAAACTAGAGAAGAAACTGAATAAAGTACAGACTTCACATGTAAAACTTCAATTTAGCTATTCTCATGGTTAGAAGAAATTTATACCATCAAACTGAAAAGCTTCTGCACAGAAAATAAAACAAATATCAAAGTGAGGAGACAACCCAAAGATTCAGAGAAAACATTCGCATGCCATACATCTCACATTGGCTAAATCTAAAGCATATACAGAACTCAGAATACTCAATAAAAATTAAAAAATGATCCTACTCAAAAATGGAACAAAAACCTGAATAGACAGTTCTTAAAAGGAGACTTGAAATGGCCAACAGATGTATGAAAACATTGTCAACATCACTAATCCAAAGGGAAATGCAATTTAAAACTACGATGAGATCACATCAGACCCATTAGAACAGGTATTATCAAAAAGATAAAAGATAAGTATTCATGAAGGTATGAATACACAAGGTGTATTAGAATACCAATTTGGAAACTAGCACAATGCTAAAAATAAAAAAAGCAAATGATCCAGCAATCCCACTTCTGGGTATATGTCAAAAAGAACTGACATCAGTATCAGAAAGAGATGTCAGCCCTCTCATGTTTATGGCACCATTATTCACAACAGTCAAGATATCGAAATTACAGAAGCACTCATCAACGAATGAATGGATAAAAGAAATGTTTACATATAAAATAAAATTCTACTCAGACATTAAAAAGGAAACAAATTGTCAATTGTGGCAACATAGAAGAATCTAGAAAACGTTGTATTAAATAAAATAAGCCAGGGACAGGAAGACAAGTACCACTTAAATTTACTTATATGTGGACTATTAAAAAGTCAAACTAATACAAACAGAGAGAAGAATGAAGTTTACCAAAACTGAGGGTTAGAATGGGGTAAAATATCAGTGGGGATGTTTGGTTCAAGAGTATGAAGTTTCACTTCAGCAGGAGGAATAAGTTCTGGTGATCTACTGCACAGCATGGTGAATAGAGTTAATAGTAATGTACATTTCAAAGTTGCTAACAAAGTGGATTTCAAATGTTCTCACCACAAAGAAATCAGTGTGTCTGATAATGAATATGTGAATTAGCCTGATTTAATAATTTCACAATGTGTTGAAACATCAAATTGTACCTTATAAGCACATACCATTGTAACCTGTCAAGTAAAACAAAATAAAAAAAATTTTAAAAGTCTTGTCCAATAGTATTAGAAAAAAAGAAAAAACTATATATTGAACACAAGAGAAACACATCTAATTCAATGATACGAACAGGTTGAAAGTTAATGGGCAGGAAAAGATATACAATGTAAACATAACCTAACACAGATACACCAGCTGACCATACTAATACTAAACAAACAAAATTGTTACTAGGGGGCCGGCCCCGTGGCTCACTCAGGAGCATGCGGCGCTGGTAGTGTCAAGGCTGCGGGTTCAGATCCTATATAGGGATGGCTGGTGCGCTCACTGGCTGAGCGTGGTGCGGACCACACCGAGCCGAGGGTTGCGATCCCCTTGCCGCTCAAAAAAAAAAATTGTTACTAGGAATAAAGAGGGTCATTTATGACAAAACTGTCATTCTGGAGGACACCATAACAATTGTAGGTATACATGCACAAAACAAGTAAGTCCAACATCAAATAAAAGTAATTAGAGAAGAAATTAAGGGTAAAACAGGCTGTTCTATGTAAGTGTTCAGATATGTTAAGTGCAACTTTCAATATTAAATAGAACAACTCAGCAAAAGACTGACAAGGGTATAGAAGTCTTGGACAACATTATAAAGCAACTTGAATTTAAAGATATGTATATATAGACACAACATCCAACAACAGAATACTCAATCTATTCAAGGCCTTGGAACATACTCCAGAAAAGACCATCTGTGATACCATAAAATATCTGCAATAAATTTGAGGACTGAAATTATACAATGTATGTTCTCTGACCACAATAGATTTAAACAGAAAATTATGAAAGTAAAAGAACAAACTCCCAAACTGTCAGTGAGCCATAAAAACGACACTAAAATTTGAAACATTTTCACACAGTAATACAACATACCAAAATTAAAAAAGGGCTTAGAGTAAAATTTAAATTTGTAAATGTATACAGTTTAGAAAGTTCTGAAATCAATAACCTGACCTGCCAAATAAAATCCTAGATAAAGGAGGAAAATTAAACTTCCCAAAACAGAAAAAAGAAAATAATAAAGATTAGAGTCAAAAATGAAAGATAAATGATGGTCCTATACTTTCTGCCCACTGTTACCAGAGATTTGGAGACAGAATAGTGGCAGATGGAAATGACCTCCCTGCCCAAAAGGATCCCAGAGACCCTGCCTCCAACCACACCCCCAGGTTCTATGCTGGACACCATTTTGTCTTACTTGCTCATACCCCTTTTTGGGGCCTGGCTCTCCCCCACACCAAGGGCTCTGATGGCAGACAGGGAGTCACCACAGACTTGAGAAGTCTCCTTAGGTGAAAATAGGCTCTGGGGCCATCTCTAGGTCTGGAGGACTACACACAAGCACAGCCATTCACAAGGCAATACACAAGTAGAGTTGGGATTTACCTCTTAGTGGCAAGATTGGAAATAGCACTCCATCACAGAAAACAGAAACACAAGATTTCTTAGCTATAGGGCATGTGGTACACACTCATACCTATGATTTGGCACCATTTCAAAACAGGAGCAATAGGTATAAAGGAAAAGTATCCCTTCCAGGCACTGCTTTTCTCTGAGTAAAATAAGAAAATCATTACCGTTTACAGCTGTTTAAATAAGTTCAAGTTTAAATAAGTTCAAACAAAAAAGAAAAGTATCCCTTCCAGGCACTGCGTTTCACTGAGTAAAATAAGAAAATCACTACTGTTTACAGCTGTTTAAATAAGTTCAAACAAGTTGTTTACAATTATGTGCCCGTGAATTTGTGCATTCACGTAGAAATGTTTCTATTCAACCTATAGACTCACTTTGCATTAGCTTCAAACATCATAAAAAATTACCTTTACTTAGCTTTGTAATACTGGTCATACAAATTTACCTAAAATGGGAGAGTAGGAAAAAATCTGGGCTGGCCCGTGGCTCACTGGGGAGAGCGTGGTACTGATAACACCAAGGCCATGGAT